GAACTATACTGTAGATGAATGTTTTATATGAGATCCTTGCAAAGAAATTTTCTTCTTGTCGAATTAGTATAAACTAGTTGCAGTTAAAAAGCAGTTAATTGTAACTGCTAAACTGTAGAACTGTAAAATTACTACAGTTAAAACGGTCATATGCTTTTCTTATCGCTTACATATAAAGTTTGATAGCAATCAGGATGATGGGCGACTGTTGTGTACATGCTGGTGTAAAAGTTTCCAAAAATTCCTGTTGGCTTATTGGGTGTATTCAGATGTAAAGCCACTAGTTTTAATTGATCCTTTTTCTCTTTTTGTCTCATATTGGGGAAGAAATAATCAATTTGTTCAAATACATAGAACATTTTCTAATAAACTCTAATTCACTAACTAATAGCCCTCATTCGTTGAAAATTATACCAGCATGCAGTTCTACTCCATCCGCGCCTCGTGATGTATTTGATAGTCGTATACTTTCAGTAATCTAATTTGTTGTTGTTTCTGTTCCTTTTCAGGAGAAGTAGTGGATAACGCACTAATTTTTGGGGCATACGGATGTTGTTGAACGCATTTCTTTTTTCCCTCAATCACGGCCATCATCCATCGTCATAGTTTAGTTTTGAAATAGTTTTAGAATTAGATGGGTCTACTACTGGCAAATTTCTTGCTTGGATAGTCTCCGAAAGCTTTACGGTTTTCGAAACAAGATAACACCGACGGGACATGAGGACGAAATTGGAAAGAAAAAAGAAAATTGAGGAGCATTAATCGCGTTCTTTTTCCAATGGTACATATGTAAATCATCTATTGTGGATTTTAACGAGATAAACGGGAAGTTAGACTAGCAGTCTCGTTAACGTCGTCTGTTTTCTTATGCATTCCACCTGCCAGTCTATTTTTATATAGTTTATATGTTTTTGCTAAAATCAGCTACAATACTATTTCTGTCATTCCTATTATTCCAAGATGATTTTTCGGTGTGCTCATCATGAAAACGACTAAAAGTTACTATTCGTTTAGTAATTTCATTATCTTTGGGATTCACCTTAAAAGAGAGTACACACATATAAATAATGAAAAGAATTTGTGACTTTGAAGAAAATATCGATTTCAACCGAACAGTTAAATTCTCATATCAGTACGTTTTGTATTTCTTTTATAAAAACTGAATGAAAAAAAACGTCAAGCTGACTTCGTATTATTGTAGATATGAAGGCCAAAGCTGTAAAAACAATGGCAAGATGAAAAATGCGAATAAAATGCCACTCTACTTTGCTTTCTTAAGCTTTCTAGTTACTTTTAACATGTTTGTAAATGCTTCAAATTCAATATTTCTTTTATGCACTTATATTAAAGCACGACTTGATCACATCAGAACAAAGGAAGGACAAACGAGAAGAATACAGTTCGTGTTACTTGTTTCCGTCAAATTCATGAGGCTGATTCTCGTTAAGGTTCGATAGATGCATTTTATAGTCTTTTGGTTCTTTGTTAACCATGAAATGACACGATCTTCACACTCAGTTTATTATCTGTTATTTCTTCTATCTAAACTATTTCTGTTCATTTTCTAACAAAATATTCTTTCTCTTTTCCGCTTAATTTAATAGTTTTCTTTATTTAATATGAAAAGCTCACGAGACATCTTTACTCTACAAATTAACCATTTCTACCACTATTGTATTTCCTCAATTACTGTTACGAATTCGAAGTTTCTCAAATATGGTGAATATAACAAACAGTTGCTCATTGATAACCTGGGATTCCGCTTCTCTTCAGTATAATCGCACTTATTTTCCCATTTCATTGTCTTCTGCCATTATACATACTCTATTTTGGATACAAGTTGTATTTAATCGACAGGCACGTCAACGTTCACTTCTATGGATCTATAGTTACTTATTTACCGACATTCTGCTACTTTCATTCTATTTTATTCAATATGGAACTCGAGTATCGACATACTGCTTTTCATCCACTATTTTCACCATTTTATGTCACTTAGAAGCATATAATTTTCTTTATCTTAATATTATTGAAGTTTACATACTACTTGCATTAACTATAACACGTTATCTCCATATAGTTAAAAATTTAAATGTTTATATTCAGTATCCAAAAGGTACTTGGCTTATCAATATTATTATTTATCTAATACCGTTAGTTTATTTCGCTGTACAAGTAGAATTAGATTGGATTAAATTAGAAATTATAAAGGGTGTTAGTTGTGGACTAAACTATGTAAATATTTATATTCAAATAATAAATATTAGTTTTGGTTGCATAATAGGAATGGTACTCAACGCATTATTTCTCTATTTAACGTCAAAACACGTTCAACGGTCAGAACAAACAGCTCAGAAGAATTCAATGAGAAAACATCATCAGCGTTTACAAGTTAAGTTTCTTATTGTTTATACACTATGGGTTGTGTTATGGGGACCATATGTTACCGTTAATCAAACTGTAAACAGTACAAATATTGTCGTGTACTATACTCAGATATTCAGTCTTTTTGAAACATTAGCAGATCCATTTATATTTTCTGCACTTGATAACCGACTGTATAACGCGTTCCCATGGATAATGAAATTTAAACGTAGACGAATCCACCCTGTTATCAAATGGACTGGTAATGATGGTATGATGACACATATTATTTCTACTGGTCAAAAAGGATAAATGGTTAGAATAACATCGTGTTTTTACTTTGATTTCTCTCTCCAGTATTAACTTGAAAAGGAATCTAGTGAGTTCTGTGGTAGTTGGTTCCCAATCCAATTTTGGTCGATGACAAGCGGATGTGGCGAAGGTGGTTTTGTCATTCAATCGAAATTATTAGAGTATCATTTGTTCAATGACGTGTTTATGTTCGAGCTTCAGTGATTTTATCCTTTTCATTTTTGGAGTATAAAACTTGGATATATCTCGTCTTGCTTTCTCTCATATCGCAGAATAGGTCTGTTTGTACTTAAGGGAGCTCGACCTTTATTGTTTTGTCCTGCAAGATGCTTCCGTTCTTTCGGTATTTAAGAGAGTTTCGTCACCACATTGAGTTTTTTTTGTATATTTCTATTCATTAAAGGTCTACTAATTCTTGAGTCAAATGTCTTCTATGCTTCAAATCGGTTTTAGTCAAAAAGTTTGTAGGTCATTGTGATTGTTCTCATAGCAGTACCGATACAGATGAAAATTCTAAAAGTGATTATGCCAGTTGAAAGAGATCCTTGTTGAGAACAATAAAAAGCAGATTCGATAGAGACTTTCCCAGGCTACAGAATGGGCTATAGCACATTATTTTGAAGGTCTACCTTCGTAAATGTATTGTTTACAGGGCATGTATATGTTTTACAGGGCTCCGTCAAGAACTGCTCATATATAACCATTGATGACGTGAAATCCTTGCTTATTAAAATATTTAGAACACAATGGGATTGAGTAGTTTAACATCAAAAATACTCTTGAGCATCTCAACGAACCGGAAGTTCAACATTTTCTAACAAAATATTCTTTCTCTTTAAAACCACCTTAAAACTTCTCGTATTGTGTTCTTGTGTAGCCCATGTTGTAGAGCATGTCGAATTACCCTTGTGTACCAATTTTGGGTATCATACGACATCGAGAACGAAAATTCGAAGTTTTCGATAAATGTCTTATAGGCTGTGTGATCATATGCACTAAAATGAACGTACAAACTTCGAATTTCCGTTCCCGACGTTGTGTGGTACTCAAAATTGGTACACAAGGGTAGTTCGACATGGTCTACAACATAGGCTACACGAGAACACAATACGAGAAGTTTTAAGGTGAATTCCGTGCCAAAAACCGATTTTTAGAGGTTTTGGTTTTTGGCCTTCCTTAATCAGACTTGAAATTTAATAAATTCTCTGATTGTGTAGGGTTGTAGAGAAATGTTTTCTCCATCAAACTCATGTCATACGACAACCCCATGATATAAGAACTTTCGGCGCTAAGCCCACTTAAAGAAGTTCCACTGATAAGTGGCACCAGAAGCTGGTGCAATCTGCTTGAATGTTACATTTCCTGATAAAGTTATCTTTTCTCTTTGTAACAACGCAAACCACACGTCTCTAGCTACTTCCATTGAGAAGTTATTCAAGTTGCAACCAACTGCATTGTCCTATGAAATGGCTAGTAATTTTGCTATATATTGCTTATGTATATCAAGCTTCATTTTTTTTAATTGTTTGTACTTCTTCGAAGCCAATCAACCGCCGTATTTCGAAAGGTTATTCATTACAACACATTTAAAGCAAAACGAGAACTTTTCTTTCACAGTTTATTGTACTGTCATACTGTTTAGGCTTTCTTAGAACAAAATGTTTTACCAAATACCAGGAAACTGACGTGTTTAGCATTGGTTTTTACGTAGAAAACCATAATAGCAGGTCTCTAGGTGGAAATATCACTGAGCTATGGGCTCATCATCTGAAGGATTTTTCGAAAAACTCGCACTTTTTTAGTCTTTTCCTAATTTCTCCTAAAAGGAAAAACGTTTTGGAGAAAACGACACATACTTTTGTGGAGCAAGGCAAATCTTCTGGCGTATGAAAGAAGTCTCTAGCTCTCATGGCAAAAACTAGATAGCACTGCGCGGTGAGAACCTCAAGATTCGAGTGATCAGTGTTTGATCAGCTACAAGAGTTTAAGACTTGAAGAAAAGTCATCGGATAACGAGTGCCTAGATGTGCTTCGTGATGCTGAATCCAAAAATCGCACCAGTGAGATCGAAAAATGAAAAGATCAGGAGATAATCGGGATTTTTCTGAAAAATCGACTTTTCGAGGTTTTTGACGCCCTCACGGTATTTTGAGGTTTTCTGCATGAAAACTCGGTCAAATCGAAAAAATAAGATCCGATTCGTGATCAGCAGCGTCCGACGAATCAGAATATGTGTTTGAAAAGCCAAAAGCTTTTCCACTTGATTTTTGCATTAGCGGCACCTTATAAAAAACAAAAAATCTGCAATAATAGCAGTAGGAAAGATGATAGACGGAACATGGACAATTGTACAATCAAAAAAAAAAGAAGATAAACCAACTGTGAGAGAAACGAGATTACAAATTGAAATTTATATATCAGGTGAATGTTACAATGTCTTTCTTAAGGATCATAATGTCAATAAATTTATGAACATTAAACGATTAACAAGTCTAACACCCATCAAACGTCATATTACAGCAATTACGAATCTTTCCGAATGGCTACAATATAAAAGTTTACTTGCGCCAACATTAAATGATCCATATTATCAAGTAGCTGAACAATCAGACGGAACTATAGAAGATCATAGCTTCAGTCACGAGCAAACAAAAGCAATTAAAATTGCTGTTAATATGTTTGATGATATACAAGAACGGTTTTTCTTAATTGATGGTCCAACTAGTATGACTGTCGTTTTCTTCTATTTCAAACTGTATACAACTAAATGTTTTTCTTTTCTATAGGTATAAGTAAAAGTAAGACAGTCGCGCATGTAGTTGGTCATCTATTAAAGAAACTCGATGGTGATAAAGAAATTTTAATATGTGCACCATCAAATACTGCGTATTATGAATTAATGAAGAAAATACTTGATTATTTTAATCAAATAAATCAAACAATACAAGGTAAGATTCAAAAATGAATGCTCTTTTCTTTTTTTTTGAAAAATATCTTTGTAATTATTTTTTGGATTATATTGTTCTAAATGAATTATGTCAAAAATTGAAACATCATGAAAGTTTTAATCCATGTACAATTGAAAAAAAGATGGAAAAGAAAGTGTTAAAAAAGTTAAAATAGTTATATCACCGTTAAATTACAGTGTATCATCACGTTTAAGATTGATATATAATTTTAAAACAGGTGTTTCCTTTAGGTGAGACAGAAAAAAACAAAATCAATAATATCACAATATTTCTATAATAAATTTGGAATCATTAATTCATAACTCACAAACTGTCGTCCTTCTTTGTGCTTTTCACTCGATTCTATCCACAATCTTATCGTTAACTCGTTCGCAGGTCTTTCTCGAGACTGTTCTGTCTGTTGTCGACAAAAACGTCTTTCTGTGTGAATATGAACAGGTGGATCGGCACTTCCCTGACCTCTAGCAGTCGACGTCGGTCCCAACGTTGTTGGTAAAACGTCATTTTTCCAAAAGTGACGATGAAAAAAACCGCCGAGTTTTTGAACGACAGTTGGCGTGCTAGAAGATGTCTGTTCAAAATAGCACCAATTTCTGTTTGGCAATAATTTTTTATGCATAAGTTTTCGTCCCGTCTCTGGCATTCGCTCAAAAAAATCTATCAATTCTTCTTCGGTATCTTCAACACCATCCGGATGCCATTTTGTTTTGAAGTAATGTGCTATATGCAAACTCATTCTCGACGGTGGAATATTGACAATAGCAGACGATATCACTTGATACATCAATTTAGCGTCATTTTCTGGTTGAATTACTCTTCTGTGTTGTCGTGTTCGAAATCTGGCGATCCCACACGTGTGAACATCGCCACTAAAAAACGTGATTCTCAATCGTTTTTCATTCGACAACTGTTGAAATCTCAGGAGTCCTCGATCTCTTTCTCGGATGTGCGCATCATGTATCCACTCGTCGAGCAAATCATCGTACAGTTCAGGCAGACCAAAAATAGAGTTTGTTCGTTTAACAACGGGCAATGTTCGACATTTATTTGTTGCGTTTTTCAATCGAACAAATAACGACTCGGCGAGACGGAATCGGACGAATGAGAATGGAACGGCGAATATGACAATTAAATGTTGAACGATTGGATCGATTTTATTGAGTCTGTCGAATATCATTTCCCAACTTCTCTCGTCTATAACTGTTTCGGTATCACGTTCACTGCGGCTATCGGTACCCAAAATAGTCAAATACGGACCGCAACGAGCAAGAAAATTATAAGAATTATAACCAAACATTCCATGTTTTTCGGTACGCGCTTTTTCGACCGTTGTATGATGCTGAAAGAGAAGTCGCATTTTTTGTGCCGATCGAAACAGACCCATCATGACTGGACTGTCATGAAGTAGTGGCGGATACGAACCGGCTCCATCAAAAATATCGTGATCGTCCCACGTCATTATACTCGGTACCGTCTCCAGTGCATGTTTCACTTCGGGTCGTTCCCAATTTTCGGTATACATATTGAAGTGATACTGTTCAATTTGTTCACGTAACTCATCAGGAAAATCACATGTCCATTTCTTGTTCCATTCCATGTCGACCCACTCCTTGAGGTAAGGACAATCTTCGAATATGAAATCGATGTAATTCTGATCGCCACCCCAAACGAGCAGATGCAACGGACTTTCTTCGTGCACTGAAATTAAATGATTCCATACATCCGTATAGGTCAAATCGTTGACCACTTGTTCGGGCACTGTCGCATCGAAACCGTTACACGAAAAGAAACCACCACGCCACCGTTGATCCAGTTGAGCAATATGAAACAGACCGTCAGTTGTATGATCGCCCCAGTCGACTTTCCACTGAATTTTATCGTCACTGTCGCCAATGCGCAGTTCAATTTTTATATTGACGCGATAAGCGCGCATGTCAAATATATTATCAAACAAGATCTCCCATGTGTGATCAACTTTGGGTTCACATATAAATTCGATTTTTGGCCTTTCATCGTTGAGCGAGACGTGCCGGAAGATGAGAGCACTACCGTACCATAACATTTGATTCACATCGGTCGTTAGAAATTGTAAATAGGGACCGAGGGCGTAGCCAGGTGGTTTTGGCGGCCGATTAATGGCTGGTGAGGCAGTTTTGGCCTTCGATGATGAAGGCATTTGTTTTATTTTATGGGTCGTTGCAGTGGATGCCGATTTCTTTGGATAATCACCGTTGTATTCGGGGTGAGGATTTATCGGATTTTGAGTGTTCGGATCATAATCGCCGTATTTATCTTTCACACCAACAGTTTCGTCTTCGTTCATTTTGCTTATAGGTTAATTGTTACACTTAAACGAAACAAAAAATGATAATAGATGACTGTGTTTTAGGTTTGATTAGACCAGGAATCATTCTCATACAAAGCAGTGCTTCTTCATCATACATGAACACATCTCCACATTCAGGTCACTAGAATGTGAACTCGTCAAGCGGGAGCGAATACTACAGTTTTTGTTCACGTAATTAGAAATGGGGGTTAGAGATGTACAGTCCGACGGGTAACTTACGGGCAGGATAGGTATCAAGTGTAAAGTTGTCGGATGTGGATGGTGGGCTCGAGTATTGCTTTTCATCCAACTAAGAGACCGCGTTCTTCTAAATGTTTTTGAAAGATGAACTCCTACGAAAATTTAAAACAAACTCTTTACTTTTACGTTGAACTCTATCTACAGAATAATCAGAAATAAATCAGGTAGACTAAACTTTCGATTGGTGTCAAGTTTCATAGGTTCATGGAAATTCCAGAATTCAAAATGTCACTACTCACTCTCATACCTTCCACTTCCTGTATTCTTTTCACAAACTAACAGATTCTGTTAGAATCAGAATTTGAGTTCTATCAAGATCTTAGCAGAATCTGACCAAGATCCAAGCAGTATCACCTATTGAATTTGTCGAGTTCTGTCAATTCTAGGGATTTTAATAGAATTCTGAAACTGGATACTGCTGCCTGGTCAACAGAGGCAAATTATCCGCACCTCCTCATTTGCGGAGATGTTTATGGCTTATCCGCCAATGCCCATATATTGAGTTTATACAATGTCGAAGGGATGCTTGAATCTCACGCATGTTCTCAGCTAATTGTACTACTCTCCTCACAAGCATTAGAGAAATCAACATATTCGCACTAAATGCATTGTAAAAAACGATTATGTTTTAGGGAGTATAGAGGAGACAACAAATTTTGAAACGATTAAAAGTCAATAATCTGATTGGAATACTCTGCTCTAAATTATACAGGAGCCATAGATTAAATTGAAATTGATTTGATTAAAATAAATTTCAATTTAATCTATGGCTGCTGTATAATTTAAAGAAGAGACAAAAAATGTCATATTCCTAGGATTAAATCTCCAAATCAGAATAAATTCATGACTTCATTGTTATATAATCTCATTCGGTTATGAAGTACTTTAAAACGCTTAATTAGTGGGCTTTACTGTTTGAATCTTAACAAATGTTTTTATTATCGGGATTTGACACGTTATTTTTTTGACGAGTAAACAGAATTATAGCATAGAACCTGCTCTACAAAATAATATATTAGAAACTTTAAATTATCTTTCTAGATAAAAAAACATATGATCGTTTTATTGACTAGTTAACTACGCCTAACTGTCCCTCATATTCTTTTCCTCTAAAGATAATTTAAAGTTTTTTGAATATATTGTTTTGTAGAGCAGGTTCTTCTAACTAATAGTGGCGAATATAAATGCTTTTCAAAAGCACACTTTGTGTTTTAACTGATGCATGTTTAATCCCAAAATGATTATATAATCGTTAATCGTTGTCAGACTCAACACTGGTTACCAAATAATATCTCACATGTTCAAAACGTGTTATCTTATTGAGAATCGAATTCGTTCTTGTTTCAGGAAACACATGATGATGGTTTTTGAACACTAATGAGGCTTATAGAATCTCACTTACCCTTAATGGAATTGAGGATTCATTGACAAAGATATCGAGATTGTATATATATTCGAATCGGTCATATAAATGAGATTCTGAAAAAAGAAAAGAATCGGCAACCACAAAACCTAATTCTTATGTCAACTTCATATTTTCTGCACATTGTCTCACTCTCTCTCTCAACAATTTTTTCAGTTTTGTATTTTCTTTTTTTCTTTGTACAGTTAGAATATCTCTTTACATCTAGATGTGAACAAATAAAAGAAAGAGCGTCTTACTATATTATATGCAAATAAGTAAAGCCTTTTGAGATTATCGTTACCGAAAAGAAAAACGAAACGTGCTCATATTACTCACCTCATTTCTTTTTACTTTCTACCGAAAGAAATGGATCATAAAAAATGAGATTATCTTTTCGAACAGGCAAAAATTTTAGTAAATATTAGAATGTAACTTTAATTTTATGTATGTTAATAAAATGAAAATTACTGCTGTTACATTCTTATGTTTATTAAAACATGAGATTCTGAGGTATGTACGAACTGACAACCATGAGATCTAACTCATATGTCAGTCCCAATTTTGGCAGTTAACACTCTGCTATGGCGCTTTAGCCATATATCGCCTCCATTACATTCGAGCAAATGCTCACTTTCCTGAAGGGGAGTACACCTCCCAAAACATACCTTTGAAATTTTCCCAGTATGTAGAGAACACCTTCAGGGGTATTTTATTGAAATGTTGCTTTAGCGTTTTCTATATTGACTAACGTTTTATACCCTTGCAGTAACGCACAGGCTGGATAAGTTTTGGCGAAGAGGTAAACTTTTTAAAAATTAAAAAAATCGATTTTCCCAGCCGTTTTGCACTTAGTGCAAAAAGTATTTCTTGCATTGTTGCCCACGTCAACGAAGCATTTTGGCAAGTTTATGTCAATGTAAAAGTTGTTCACTGCAGTCAGCTCTATAGGATGACATATTTTGTTGTTACTGCAGATTGCGAAGGTACAAAGTTTTAAGTCATAAACCAGGTCCGAGTCAGAATTCTGCTGGTAATGCTCGATTTTCTCTAACAGAACTCAACTTTCTTTTATGCAATAAAAATATCGTATATGAAATCATCAAAAATGAATCGACTGATGTGTATTTCGAAATTTTTAGTTGATTTTCATTTTTTGGTGAAAATATCGATAATTTTTCAATGTGAAATTTAGAGAAAAATTAATGCAGTTGGGTAGGATAGAAATATACATCATTCGACTCAGTCTTTGATCCTGTTTCCAAATACGATATTTTTGTTGCATAAAAGTTGTGTTCTGTTAGAGAAAATCGAGCATTACCAGCAGAATTCTGACTCGGACCTGGTTTATGACGTAAAACTTTGTATCTTCGCAATCTGCAGTAACAACAAAATATGTCATCCTATAGAGCTGAATGCAGTGAACACCTTTTGCATTGACATACATTAGCCAAAATGCTTCGTTGACGTGGGCAACAGTGCAAGAAATACTTTTTGCACTAACGAGGGAACCTTTCGAAGTGATTAAACGCTTTTTGCTTGGGAACTAGTGGATTATAGGTTATCGACCATGCTGATTACGAATATGACCAAGGGGGTTGCCCTTAGCTCTTCGAAGATCTGATTTTCTAGAAAACCAGTTTTTCATAAACTCTAAAATATAACGTGAACCTTTCTTAATGAGGTATGATTGTAGTCCACACATTTCTGATTAAAATGAGACATCTCCCAGCTTTACACGATCTTTCTTTGCAAAGTTATAGAATTCACAAGAAAAGTCTTAAATTAATTTCTTATTTCTGTGGCTTTGAGCTGACAATGAATATTTAGGGCTTTTCTTGTAAATTCTATAACTTTGCAAAGAACGGTCTTGTAAAGCTGAAAGATGCATTTTAATCAGAAATTTGCGGGTTACAATCATGCCTCACTAAGAAAGGTTCTGGTTATATCTTAGAGTTTATGAAAAACTGGTTTTCTCGAAAGCCAGAGCTTCGAAGGGCTAAGGGCAATCCCCATGATCATATTTGTAATCAACATGGTCGATAACCTATAATTCCGACCTAGATTCCGAGCAAAAAGCGTTTAATCACCTCACCATTCCCTCGTAAGTGCAAATCGGCTGGGAAAATCGCTTTTTTTAATTTTTAAAAAGTTTACCTCTACGCTAAAACTTATCCAACCCGTGCATTATTGCATAGGTATACCCTTGAAGGTGTCCACCACATACTGGCAAAATTTGAAGGTGTTTTGGGAGAGGGATCCCCTTAAGGATAAGTGAGATACTGTTAGCCTCATTAGTGTTCAAAAAGCATCGTCACCCGTTTTCTGAGACAAGAACAACTTCGATTTTCAATAAGCTAACATGTGCATAACGTGTTAAATCCTTTTAGGCAAAGATGGAGAATCTGTTCATAAGATTAGGAAATTTTCCTCATCAAGAAAAAGCGACAATAAAATTTTCCGGGCATGAAGCGGAAGAAAAAAACATAGCAGTATGATTGTATTAGTGCTAAAACTACTGTTTCTGCTTAAACACACAAGTATGGTTCTAGGATTTTCGCTGCTTGTCCTTAACGTAAGCGATTTAAAACAATTGAACTAGAAGAAACTAATTTCTATACTTGATACTGTTCGCTCCGTTCGTAAAACAACCATTGTTTATCTTTTACTTGACTAAAAATGATTATTGAGTGATTATTTGAAATATTGTATTTTGCTTTATATTTTCTACCATGTAAATTGTTTATTTACTTGAAAATGCGCTCATCTCTAATTATCTATCATAATATGTGTAAACGATCAAAAAAGATCAGTATACATTTACGAATTAAGAGCAAATGGTTCTGTTGTAGAACGGATAAAATGTTAGTTAATATAGAAAACGCTAAAGCAACATTTCAATAAAATTTCCCAGAATAAAAATACTTTTCCTCGACGGCTGTTCGAGCAAACGGATAGATTCTGCGCCTCTGCTTTTAGGTCAGGATTATTCTACTACTATCGCGTTTTTCTCCTTTTAAAAATACACATTGTTTATCTACCTTCGTCAGCGATCATTATAAAACACACGATCTCAGTTCGACTGCAATAAGACAGTATTTTCACGTGGCTGAAGTTTCTCGAAGATTGTAAATGAAATCTTCTACCATTGATTTTGCACATTGAATGTCTCGCTCTCTCTCAACTATTTTTTCAATTCTTGATTTTCTTTTTTTCTTTGTACAGTTAGAATACTTCTTTACATCTAGATATGAACAAATAAAAGAAAGAACGGCTTACTATATTATATGAAAATATGCAAAACCAATGGTAGAAGATTTCATTTACAATCTTC